GTGGGACCAGCCCTCCTGGCTCTTTCCTTCAGCCCCACCTTTCCACTCCCCTCCAGGAGTCAGTGTTCCCCTCTTAAAACAGTGTGTAAGTTCCGGAAACATGCTAGACCTTTTTGGTGGCGCCCTGCCCAAGGCTGGAGATGGAGCTTCAGAAATCCAGTCTCCATTGGCCCTGCCTGCCCCTCAGTGCTTCCGCTGCTCTTTCAGACATTACTCTCAGCTCCACCTCCTGCTGACACCCTGGCCTAAGCTCGCCTTTAGCACACGGCAACTCCGCCCTTCTAACTGCCCAGGTCCGAAGTCTTCAAGTCATTCTTGATTCCTCATATCCAATCCATGAGCAAGGCCTGTCAGCTCTACTTTCAAAATCTATCCAAAATCTGTCTGAGCAGCGAGGGACTTCCTTTCTTCCTGGTGTAAATGTCCCTGTTGTCCATATGACCTTTTGCCAAGAGAGTCAGCCCAGAGGTCAGGAGAAATGAACGCAAGTTTTGGATCTAAGCATCGTGATGGATAATAAAATAATAAACTGCAGCCTGATTATTGCTCATTATGTTCCAGGTACTTAGTCCTTTATGTGGATTATTCACTGTGTGACCATGGTCTAATGACTTCACCTCTCTGTTTCTGTTGCTTCATCTCTAAAACGGAGAGGACAGTAGTCCACAGGGAGGTTGTGAGGATGCAGTGAAATAATAGACGTGACAGTCTTTGAAAAAAGCAGCAAGGGATCTATGCATCCCACAGTTTCTTCAAAGAGCCAACATGATCGTCTTCAGGCCTTTGAAGAGTTCGTGTTGCACAGAAGGGGGATATTGGCAAAATTCCAGCTGATGGTGAATTTGATAGCCCAGCTTTGTGAGGGCAGAATGTGAGGCCCATGGTGGTGCTTTGTCTGTCACCTGAGATCAGGGTGTCTGTCTCCTGGCACAAATGTGACACCTGTTGCAGGGGAAACAGGCCCTGGCAGCTGGCACCTTGGGAGGAGGGGTCTGGCCAGGAGCAGGAGGAGTTCACTTATCAGAGGGCAAGTGACAAGTGTCAGTAGTTAAATCAGCACATTCTTTAGCTCCAAGTTCCCCCAGGGGGCTAAGCAATGCCTGGGTATCCGCTGGCAGGGCTAATACAGAGGCAAAGGCACAGGGAGAGGGATTGCCAAATGGCCAGCACACCGCCCAGTGCCTGGTATGCACTCGGTGGATGTTAACGGGGGGATGGATGGGCAGTGGGCGGGGAGCAGAAAGTCATACTCAGGAAACAGAGAAGTGTTATCCATTATTCTGCTACCACTGAGTCCCTGCCGGCTCACAGCCTGCTTGCGGTCAGTAAGCAAAGAGAGAAGAGAGTGAAAGAATACTGGCCATCCGCAGTTTACAAAATTGTCAAGGGGCTTGAACTCGTACCTGACTCCCAGATCCAAAACCCCAAACTCACTGAGGAAGGAATGCTTGTTGAGTACTTACTGTGTGTCAGATTACTTGCATAAGCAGTCACCATTTATAAGTGGTAGACAATTGGGTGTGACCCCAGAGCCTTGCTTGTCTTTCTCCTATACTCTGAAGTCAGCCAAGGGAATTTTCTACTCCTGAGCGTACTAAAGGCTAGGCTGTTTGTTGACTGCCTTCGTCTCTAAGCATCTCAAAGCCATGCCAACACCTGTGAGTAGGGGCAAGGCCTGATTGGGTTTAACCTTGCTGAGTGGAGGAGGTGGCTCCTCTCCCCCAGTGGATTTGTCCTTGTTCACTGAGGGAACCACCTCTTATCTTTTACAGAGAATTAGAGCCAGACACTAAAGGTGATAAAGGCAGATTTTATTCAGTACTGTCACGATATAGGAAAGAGATCTCAGGAGAGAACTGAACTCAATTCTAAACAGAGGCAGCTGGGGACTTATAGCCAGCATGCAGAGTGAGGGGGTGGGGGTAGAAAATTACTAAGGGGCAGACATCAGGGTTGGGGGTCTTGCTAAAAGCAGACTGAAGACTTATGTGTCAAGGGTGGGAGGTGAGAAATTGATCGGTATCAGGGATGATCGGATATCAAAGGTGGGGGAATTCCTGCTAAAAAGACTTTAATGGGATTCTTGGGGTGCCTGGGTCGCTTAATTGGTTAAGCGTCTGACTCTGTTTCGGCTCAGGTCATGATCTCATGGTCATCCTATTGAGCCCCACATCCGGCTTGAGCCTGGCATGGAGCTTGCTTGGGATTCTCTCTCTCCCTCTCTCTCTCTCTGTCTCTCCCTCTGTCCCTCCCTCGCTCTCATGTACCCCCGTCTCAACAACAACAAAAGACTTAACAGGATTCTTCCTCAACACTGAGCAGGGCCAGCAAGGTCAGGGCCCAAGGAGGAGGCCTATTCAAAAGGAGGGCTCAGAGGAGCCTGTCCAAAATTTGGTCAAGGAGTCTTTACCACTTCCCAGCAAATGCCAGGACAGGGCATGCCGAAGACCCGTAGTGATAGTTTACGGACTTCAGGTTAAGTTGTCTCACCTTTGGTGTGACTTCCAAGAGTCAGAGAATTTTCTGGAATTGAAAACTAGTCTGAGAAAGGATGGGTATGTGAGACATACTACAACCCGCATCAATAGGGGAAGTACTGCTTTTATTAGTATTTCCTCACAACTTTGTCCAGAGGTAGATGACTTTTCATTCTAAGAACAAAGTCAAGGAAGAGATGACCCAATCGCTCAGAGGCAGAAGCGAGGCAGAGCCTGCCCACCTCTCCCCACAGTGTGACTCACTCCCCACCCAGGCACTGGAGCGCCCCAACCACTCGCCAGCCGCTCCTTGGGCTTGTCTAGGGATCGGGCTCTTAGATTAGTGGTGTCTGAGTTGGGATTAACAGATGAACAAACAGCTCTCTCCTGAGCTCATCCAGAAATGTAGGGTGTAGGTCTGGGAGCATTCTTTCTCTTCCTCCCTCCCACAGCCTCACCTCACTTCGCTGGCCCCAGAAACTTGCTTCCTCAGAAAAATCCCCCTGCACTGAATGAGACTCACCTGTTCCCTACTGCCAGCTGGCCAGCCATGGAAACAGGAGAGACCTTGATGGCAGAGGGATAAACCTGCCGAAGTCCCCATAAACATAACATGAGCAGAGGTTTAATGTCTGTACAGAAACCCCAAGGCACAGATCCCAGGCTGAGGCCTCTGCCCTGGGACTCTCAGTGTCTGTGCCAAAAAGTGCCCACAGGAGAAAATGTAGGCAGGATGAGAAAATGCTGGCTTTTGAGACAGGGAGGCTCTCTGTTCTGATCCTGGCTTCAAAAGAACTAACTCTGGGGACACCCTGGTGGCTCCGTTGGTTAAGTGTCTGACTTTAGCTCAGGTCATGTCATGATCTCATGGTTTGTGGAGTTGAGCCGCGCATTAGCCTCTGCACTGATAGTGCAAAACCTGCTTGAGATTCTCTCTCTCTCCCCCTCTCTGTTGGTCCCCCACTCTCGGTGTCTCTCTCTTTCAAAATTAATTAATTAAAAAAAAAACCTAACTCTGTGACTTTAAGCTCTGAGCTGCTCTTTCCCCATCTGTAAAATGGGGGTAATCAGACCTGGCCTATCTCACGAGATCCCAAAAGGCCACACCAAACATAAATGTAATCTCCTCCCACCCCTCCCCACAATCTCCCTGCTAGAGTCAATTACATAAACACTCAGGCAAAATGTTGATGTCCACCTTCTGCCGACCCACATTCATGGATTGTGCTCTTTCCTCTCTGTATGGTTGGCTCTATCTCTACTGGTGCTCACATAGGGCTTCCTATGACCCTTCTGCATTGGGCCACCTATTGACTCCCAGGGGTCAGGGACCGTAAGTCTTAACTCCTTTTGCACAGCACCCACTGCAGTGTCTGGGAGCATCTGGATGGAGCTGTTGGAGAGCGAGTAGTAGCCCAGTGGGAATCTGAATGCTTGAGTTCCAGTCTTAGCCTTGTCTTTGTTTGGTGAGTGAGCCTAGAGAAGTCATTTGACCAGCTGGCATCTCATTTTCCTCACCTGAAATGGTGACCAGATGATCTTGAAAGCCTTTGTTAGCTCTTGATAGTCTATGATTTGGGTTCATGGCCAGCAGTGGTTTGGTTTCACATATTCAGAGTCTGGCAGTCATGCCCAAGTGATCCCCATGTCATGTGGGGAGGCTCTGATCCCCCAGTGCTGATCCACTGAACCCTCATTCTTCCACACCCTCTCCCTTAGCACAGCTCTTTGCTCCTTGACTCCTTGCTTGCTCCCCAACAGTGTCCTGTTCCCCCTCATTTTCACCCAGTTTGGATTTTAGCCTTCCCAGATGTGTGTTAGCCAACCAGTTGCAGATCCTTTAGGGTGTAGACACGAGCTTCCAGATCAGCATAGGAGTAGGAGGCCTCCAATCTTCTCTCTCCAGCAGTTTATAAATTTGTTTGACACATACCAAGTCCTGGCCCACCCTTTCCTGCCTTCCCAGCTCTGGTTCCATCTAGCAGCTCAGTGATAATAGTGGGCTGAGGGGAGGGCCTCCCCACCAGCTACACAGCCCTGCTATCTCCCTGGGCCTGGAGGAAAGGGACTGAGCTGGAAAGGGAACCCATGCAGGAGCTAGCTTATTTCCACTGCCTTTTACAACCATTCTCCCACAGCAGCTTCTGGGAGAAATCAGTCTCAAGAGGCAACTGGGGAAGAGGCAGCCTATAGTGCTGGACACACTGCATGGACAAACGGACAGTGTTCCATTTCACCTGGCCTGGCTCCTTCTCTGATTATGGAAGACAGCAAATTTTAATGTGATAGGAGCTCATTTCCCCTCTCTCTCTGCCCTATTGACCTATTGATAGGTAATAACTATCTCCCTACCCCCACTCCCACCCCCCTGCCTCAGCCTCCACTTCATGCCCACCACCTGAAGAGGTGTGAGTCGCAGTAGAAGAGAAGAAGCTTACCTCTCCTATTCTCCCCAAACCTCACAGACCCATGAGGTCTTCAGGTTATGTTGACCTTGCTTCTTTCCCTCTTTCCTTTCCACAGGATACGGCAGCTGGAGAGAACTAGCCAAGGCTCTGGCCAACAGGAACATTCCAGCTGTGGATCCAAATCTCCAGTTTTATCATCCCCAGAGGCTGGGCTTCAAGGTGTGTGGCAGGGCACCCCATTTTCCCTGCTCTGCATTAACATGAGTTCTCATCTGTCCTCGCCCTTATAGCCTTAAGGGAAACCTCCACTTTTCAGTAGTAACAGAGGCCAAGGAAAGGAGTTCCTGGGATTGTGGTCTGATCTTATTAGCTGAGAGGGTAGAGCTGTCCATCCTACTACCCTCCTCAGAGCTTTCCTCACAGCTCAAGATGCCCAGAATTGAACGGCTCCAGGCATGTGGCCTTTGTCTCCAATAGTGGCAGAAGGCTTAAGGCAGAACCAGCACGCCCTGACTCTCATTGGCATGAAGACTAGGCTGGTGCCTTAGTGACAATCCCAGACACTCACTGCTAAGAGTCAGAGATGGTGAGGTAGCCATCATATCTAGCCGCAAATGGCCAGGGGACAGATTTGTAATGGAGCATTTTTGCTATAGTGTTTCTTGGGGCACTGATCCCTAGGGAGGCAGGAGCAGCTCTGGGTGGATTTAGGGAAACTGGGGTCTTATTCAGTCTGGAACCCTAAGGTTGGGCTTCTGAGCCTAGAAAAGACATGGATCTCGAAGGCTGGATCAGAACCAGACTGAACCCATGGACCTGTACAGTGGGTAGGGAAGGGCTGAGATACCCCCAATGGGCTTCTACTTGTTAGGACAAATGAGTGACGACCTGGGCAGAGTCCTGGGGGGATGTAGAGGAAGACGAAGGCATGATCAGGAGACTGATCTAGTTAGAATTTTTTTTTTCCATATGGGAAAGACAGAACATTCAAGAAAGTAAAAGAACCTTAGGAGACTAAGGAAGTGTAATTTTGAGGGATATAGTGTGAATAATAAATGAGAGTGTCCCTTATGTTGATAAGCTTTCTAGGAACAGGGACTGTGTCTCCTGGCCCTCTGCTTCCCCCTGGGTGCTTTCAAGGGGCCCCAAATCCTATTCTCGCCCTAATATTCCCACCAAGTTCATTCTTACTCTTCTGCCAGGACCAAGACTCTGAGCGAGGTGGGAGCCCTAACAGCAGCTACCTGAAGTGGAATAAGCCCGTCCCCTGGCTCTCAGAGGTAAGGGACTCTTGCTCTTGGAGATGGTCAAAAAGTAGTTTTCACAGGTAATTCCAGCAGAGACCATAGGAAATTTTCTTCTAGCAGTTACTATTAAAATTTTTCATCTAATTTGGGGTGAAAAGGGGAAGGCTCCAGGCTCATTAGTTTTCTTCCTTTGGAGAAGAACATTTGCTTTGAGCCTACTATGTGCTGGTTTTTGCATATCCCATATCAGCTTTATGACCCTGTAAGGTACTATCATTATCCTCATTTTATAGGTGAGATAAACAAGCCTCAGGAAAGTTACATGACTTTCACACCCATATCAGCCTTAAAGATAGGCTTCCCAAGCTGTGCGGACTAGTTAAGTCCTATTAGGTATTCCAGAAAGAAAAGAGTCCGTTGTTATAAGGCTCATAAACTACATACTATATCTACTTCTTGGAAATACATATTAGCACATGAAAGGTTCTGAGAAGTTCTGCAGTGATCTGTTTAACTTGGTTTAGCTCAGCAGGTACTAAAATTATTTGCCTCTGACTTGTTTTTTTTCCCGTGAAACATCTCTTAATATTCTATGAAACTAGTGTTCTAAGGATCATACTCTAGAAAACTGCTTCAGAAAACTTTTTCTCTTTTTTTTTCCAAAAGCATGAGAGGGAGAGAGGGGCAGAGAGAGAATCTTAAGGAGGCTCCATGCTCAGTGCGGAGCCCGACACAGGGCTGAGTCTCATGACCCTGAGATCATGACCTGATCCAAAACCAAGAGTTGAATGCTTAACCAACTGAGCCACCCAGGCGCCCCTAGAAAACTTTTATAGGAAGTGGTTAAACGTGTAAATGAGTTGTTGGCATACCTTTCACTTATATAGGATCTGATACTTTCTTTTTTTCTTTTTTTTTGGTAAATAAACTGAAGCTTAGGAAAGTTAATTAACATGCTCAAGACTCCCTTGAGAAAATGCTTATGCCAAAACTCCATGGTGGAAGGTACTTTGGGAGTTCCTATCCCCAGTGCCTTTTAGTTCCAAGACCCGTGGACATGGATTACTTCTCTTGGCTGGGTAGTATTGACCAGCCCGTTGTCTTTATCCATACCTATCACAGATTGATCTCTTCTGCCTGGGTGATTTTATTTATGATCCACCCATTTGCTGCAGGGCAGGAGTGAAGGAGGCAGTATCATGCTAAATGTGATGTTAGGTTTTCTACCCGTGAAACTACCTCTGTTTAAAGTCTTGAGAGAGGATGGATTACAAACTGGCACACCTGTACTGGGTGATGTCATCAGGTGATTATATCCCGCCCCACCTGGAGACAGTACTTTGAAAAGAGAGGCCCTTAAAGAACATTGATCCAATGATCCAGCCTTCAATCCTTTGAGGACAGTTAGGATCATTTTGCTTAATGAACCAATTATTTTCTTAAAATTTTTTTTAAATCTTTATTTCCTTTTTGAGAGAGAGAGAGGGAAAGAGAGAGAGCCAGCAAGGGAGGAGCAGAGAAAGAGGAGACACAGAATCTGAATCAGGCTCCAGGCTCTGAGCTGTCAGCACAGAGTGCCTCGCAGGGCTCGAACTCACAAACCGTGAGATCATGACCTGAGCCAAAGTCAGATACTTAACCGACTAAGCCACCCATGTGCCCCAATGAACCAATTATTTTGAAAGATTATGACTACATAACATTTCTGCATTTATTTTTTTACACATTTATTTATTTTGAGAGACAGCAGACAAGTGGGGGGAGGGGCAGAGAGAGAGGGAGACTGAGAATCCCAAGTAGGCTCCATGCTGTCTGTGCAGAGCCTGACTCCGGTTCAGTCCCACAAACCATGAGACCATGACGTGAGCTGAAATCAAGAGTTAGAGGCTTAACCAACTGAGCCACCCAAGCACCCTAACATACATTCTGCATTTTTAAAAATTTTCTTTTTTTTTTTTAAAGCTTATTTATTTATTTTGAAAGAGACAGCACAAGCAGAGGAGGGGTAGAGAGAGAGGGAGAGAGAATCCCAAGCAGGGTCCTCACTGCCAGCACAGAGCTCAGTATGGGCTTGAACCCACAAAGCCATGAGATCATGACCTGAGCTGAAACTAAGAGCTGGACACTTAACCAACTGAGCCACCCAGGCACCCCACATTCTGCCTTTATTAATCATTAATGTCCCCACTTTTTTGGTCAATCAAGGATGGAGATATAAATATATATATGAAATTAAAACAGTGAACAAATAGTAAATAGTGATTAAAATAGAATTAACTTTTTATTTAATTTTTAAAATTTATTTTTATTTTAAAGAGAAAGAGATTGAGCAATGGCAGGAAAGAAGGGCAGAGAGAGAGAGAGAGACAGAGAGAATCTCAAGCAGGCTTCATGCACAGTGCAGAGCCTGCTGTGGGGCTCAATCCCACAACCCTGAGACCATGACCTGAGCCAAAATCAAAAGCCAGATGCCCAACTGACTAAGCCACCCAGTTGCCCTCAGGATTAATTTTTTAAATAAATAATTGATCTTTTAGTAAGTGTGTATGGTCTTTTGGTGGTAAATGCCAGAACTCCATGGACTTTTTTTTTTATATTAAAAGTAGCTTTACAAAAAAAAACCAAACCAAACCAAACAAAAAAATCTTGCAAGATCCTCATTACAGTCTTCATGGATTTTCTGGGAATCACTAATCCAGTCATCTTATTTTACCAACAGGAAAACAAGGCCTTTGTTAAAAGGTAAAATAACTGGGGTGCCTGGGTGGCCCAGTCAGTTAAGCATCCAACTCTTGATTTCTGCTCAGGTCTTGATCTTATGGTTCATCAGTTTGAGCCCTACTTCGAGGTCTCTGCTGACAGTGTGGAGCCTGCGGGGATTCCCCCTCTCCCTCTCTCTCTGCCCCTCCCCTGCTCACACACACACTCTCTCTCTCTCTCAAAATAAATGAATAAGCTTTTAAAATAATCCTCTAAAAAAAATGGTTAAATAACTGGGGCACCGGGGTAACTCAGTTGGCTAAGCATCCAACTCTTGACTTCTGCTCAGGTCATGATCTCACAGTTGTGGGATCAAGCCCCACATCAGGTTCCATGCTGAGCATGGAGCCCGCTTATGATTCTCCCTCTCCCTCAGCCCTACCCCCAGCTCACACCTGCTCTTGTTCTCTCTCTCAAAAAAAAAAAGGGGGGGGGCTCAATAACTAACATCTGCAGTTGGTCTCAGAGCTGCATGGTGGTTCCAGCTCTTTCCCAGTTAACCACAGGGACTGCTCTGTTCCCGTTTCCTTTCCTGTCATCTGCCTTTTAACATATGGTTTCGGCAGGAAATTCTCAGGTTAACAATATGTGTCATTGCTGTCTCAAGCTGTCAGGTCATACTATTATCCCCCTTTTCCAAGTAATGGGTCAGAGAGGGGTTAACTCTCTCACTTACTCAAGGTGGCATCGCTCTGACATGGTCCTGCTCAGAAGGTGAGCTAGTTTTTAGCCAGCAGCACAGGCTCTCTGAGGCCAGAAGTCACTCTTGAAAGGAAAGCGCCATAGAGGGTATGTGTCAGAAAGCATCAGAGCAGCCAGTGCAGAGTGGGGCTTCACGGGGTAACTGCCCTCAAAAACTGACTCATGTCAGCCCAAATACTAAGACTCTAAATAACAAACCCCACTAATGAACAAGCCTCAATGACAATTAATTCATGTACGTCAGTAGATGGTTCCATTGACTAAAACACTGTCTTATACTCAGGATGCTTTGTCTGGAAAACCAAAATAGTTACAAGAAAGAAATTTGGCGAATACAAAATAAGATCAAAGCAAGTCAGTGTTTCCCCAGGGTCAGGCCATGCTGGCCCGGAGAGCTGGTGTCCCTTGAGGAGAGGGCAGAGACCCAGAATCCTCTTCTCAGGCTTACCCTTTTTTTTTTTTTTTGTAAGTTTTATTGAGATATAAATTAAATACCATGTAGTTGACCCATTTGAAGTGTGTAATTCAATAGCTTTCAGTATATTCATTGAGTGCATCACTATGCAGAGCCCGTCACAATCAGTGTAGAGCATTTTCATTACCACAGAGAGAAACTCCATACTCATGAGCCATCGCCCCTCACCACCCTTCTGCCACCCAGAACGTGGCGAACAATAATTTACTTTATGTCTCTCTAAGTTTGCCTGTTCTGGACATTTCATATAAATGGAATCATGTAATGTGACAGTTTATGTCTGGCTTCTTTCACTTAGCATGATGTTTTTAAGCTCATCCTTGCTGTAGCATGTATCAGTATTCCATTTCTCTTTATTGCTGAGTAATATTGCATTGTGTGTAAGTGCTGCACTTTATTTCTCCATTCTCGACTGTACGTCCTGGGGCCGACTCCCACCTCTCCTGGGGATGGAGGTGACCGCTCCTGCCTTCATGCCATGTGCATCTGACATCTCTGCTATAGCCCCTGGCACAAGTGACGCCATTTGCTAACACATCTCTTTCCTGGGAGGACCACACCTCTTTTCATCTCTAACTGCCGCAAAGCAGCCGTTCAGTTCAGTGCTTACAGAATAAATGAGGGAGCATATGGTTCCAGGCTTAGCTTCTCCAAGCAGTTGTTCATTCAAATAATTAAGATGTTCTGGGAACACCCGGGAGGGAAGCTGTTAACTCTTCCTGAAGAAGTCAGAGAAGGATAAACCAGAGTTTGCCAGGTTGGGGAGAAAGGAAAAGGCCTTCCAACCAGGAAATAGTATTTGTAAAGACATGGAGAGGTGGAGGCGTTGGGTGTGGGTGGAGGTAGGTGTGTGACAGGGAGTGGTGTGAGGTGAGGCCTGGGAAGATAGGTCAGTCCATGAAAAGATCTCACGTGCCAGGGTGAGGTTCTGTTCTGGAGCCTTTGGGGAGCCTTCTGAGGTTTGAAACAGCGAGTGACACAATCAGATCTGTGCTTTAGAAAGGCCGTCATGCAGGCAGCGTGCAGAATCCGTGGAGGGAGAGAAGCTTCCATCCGGTTAGGAGGCTCCGCTGTAGGCCTGGCAAGCCCAGTGAGGCCAGGCAGAGGCAGAGCTGTGGGAGTGGAAGATGGCGGCAGTCCTGTGGGAGGGCCCACCAGGCTGGCCTTACCCTCCTGCGTCCTTCCTCCCAGACACCCCCTCCCCACTTCCACAAGGGTAATTGCTGTGTGTGGGGGGGAGTCAGTGTGCCTCAGTTTTCTCAGGCCTCAGTATTCTCACCTCTAAAATGAGAGGATTCCTACAGATAGTTTCTTCACTGCTTGTAACTGGAAGTTCTGAATCTGTCATTAGCGTGGACATACCATGGTGATAGAGGGTAAGCGGTGTCCTTCCCTGGGCCTCAGCCCCTGCTGGGCAGTGGAGCAAGGGGCCAAAAGGCGGTGCTGATGAGCTGGAGTCAAAGTCTCCAAAATTTGGAGAGACAAATCCTGGTGGGGTTGCCAAGCTGGGCCCGGGGAGAAAGATGGCGCCCACTGATCCCTCAGAGGCCCCCACCTACAGCCTTAGAGTGGGTGAAGCGTGGTGTGAGGGCTGCCTTCATGCTCAGGAGAGGGTCAGACCTCTTCCACACCCCACCTGCCCCGCCTTCCATTGCCTGCAGCATCCCAGGCTACCTTGCTAGATAGCAAGCAGGGCCCTGAGAGGGAGGTGGGCCAGCAGCCCAAATCCTTCCTTCTCCACTCTTTCCCTCATTCCCTGCCTGGTCCTCCCCCCGCCCTCCACCTCTGGCTCCAGGCTGAGCACAACAGATTACTCTGGTGGCATGCCCTCCCTCCACATTTCGCTGTGGATCTCAGTGCACTGCCCTGAAAGCCTCTCAGGGAGGGGCCGAGAGGAGGTCATTGGTAGGAGACAACTGAGTCTTGTAAACTGGACTTAAGGAATTTCCCCAGAAGTAGCACAATGTCCCCATTCTTTCCTTCCAAGAAGCCTTAACCCGCCCCCCACCTACCCAGCCCACATTCTCTCTCCCACCCATCCCAGCCCCCCCACTTCTATTCCCCAGAGTGATGGCTGCTTCCCAAGGTCCTGCGCTCTTAGCTTTGACCAGGCCAGTGTGCCCAGGGAGGGCCAGGCTGCTGACCAGACAGGGAGCTCTCTTGGGTCCCTTCTGGGTCTGGCTGGGGGGTAGTGTTTCCTCAGTGCCTGCACCTCACATATTCGGCATTGGTGTGCAGGGCTCTCCCCACACCATCCCTCCCTCCAGATCACTTGCTGAAGACCATGTGCCACTTCCTTTTATCCCAGCTTCAGTCTGGATGTCCCTTCCTCCTCTGTTTTCCTAAGGGCAGCTCACATTTTGATATCTGATGGGCCGCGGTGGGGAGGGAAGGGCAGGGCCTGTTTGTATAGAGTAATTGAGGCCCCACCTCCCACAACCTGGAGATTAAGCTCTGGAGGAGGGGGAGGAGAAAATTGCTGAGATGGGGTAATCTGAAACTCTTTGTCAGGATAAATCGGGACAGGATCCCCATGCTTCCCCTCCCCACTCAAACTCCCAGCCCTTCCGCCCACTCAGAGCACCAGCTCTAAGGCCCTCTCTTCCGAAGGGGGCCCTGTGCTGCCAGCCTCCAGGCTCAGTCTCTGCTCCCGCCACCCATGCCGCTCCCTAGGAGGAGAGAGCATACTTCCTCTGCTCCTACCTTCCCAGGCTTGCCCGAGTCCGGGCACCTGGGTAGTTATGCCAAGAGAGGCCTGGGCAGAGCCAGAGGCTTCCAGCTCCTGAGGGAGCAGTGGGCAGCGGCATCCTGCCGGGATGGGGCCCCGAAGACCTCCTGCAGCGTTTTCCCAGCTGCTTCCCCACAAGGGGAGCCAGAAGCGTGAAGACTACTGGGTAGATAAGGTTTCACCAGCGGACAGCTGTGGAGCTTACTATTAAGCAGAAGGGAGAGGGGAGGGGAGGAGAGCAAGTCTTTAGCTGAAATCCCAGCTTGGCGCCTCCTTCCAGTTCTTTCTGTCATCTATGCCTTTCTGTCATGGCTATTACTCCCCCTTGCCTGGGGAATGCAAACCAGCCCCCTTCCTGCATAGAAAGAGCTTGGACTGTGTGCGCGCGTGTGCGTGCGTGCATGTGTGTGTGTGTGTGTTTGTGTGTGTGTGCGTGCACACAAGGATGGCCAGAAAAACAGCCCCAGGCCTCAGGGCCAGGCAATGGGGATGGAGGTTCCAGAAAGAAGCTGTGGGTGTCAAGGATGGGATGGGATTGAAGTGGACCGTGACCTTCAGTAGTGAGAGGACCACGGACTGGGGCCGTGGTGGCCAGTGCCACCTCAAGCCACGGAATGGGACAGGTTTGAGGGCACTCCCACTCACCCGCCTGCTTCTGTGCCCCCTACAGTTCCAGGGCCATGCCAACCTGCATGTGTTTGAAGACTGGTGTGGCAGTTCTATTCAGCAGCTCAGGAGGAACCTCCACTTCCCACTGTACCCCCATGTGAGTGTTTGTCGGATGTGCCTCTCTTCCCCTCCCCCCTCCCCTCCCACTCCTGTGTCTCATCTCCCCCTATCTTCCGTCTCCATCTTTCCTGGCTTCTTCTCTGGTTCACTTTCTTTCCTTTATATCTTGGGCCCTCTTTTCTTCTGTCCAGTTATTACCCTTGCTTCCATCCCTTGCGCCCCAGTCCCTCCTGCCTCCCTCTCCCCTGGTCTTCCCACCAGCCCCAAGTGGACCAATTTCTTCAGCTTCCTCTTCCCTCTTCTGGATTACGGTTTCCCTCCCCTTTCTTGGTATAGATTCGCACCACCCTGAGGAAGCTGGCTGTGTCCCCCAAATGGACCAACTATGGCCTTCGCATCTTTGGCTACCTGCACCCCTTCACCGATGGTGAGGCCAGCCCCACAGTCCCCTACTCCTGCTTCCTGCGCCCGGGTCTTTATGGTACCCAGAGGACATAAGCCTGTAGCTGAGAAGTCCATACTAGGCTGCCTGGATCTCATTAGTCCATCACTGGAGCGGGGGGGAATTTAGTCCCCACGAGGTCTCATCCAGTGCCCCCGGCTGCCACTTTTCTCCCTGATTTGCAGAGTCTGGAATAGTTTGGCTCTCCCTGTGAGTCTTCTCCATCCTCACGGGGTCTCCTAGGATGAGAAACCCCCACTTTGTAAAGAGAGAAGCCGTAGCACCAAGTCCCCTGAAGAGAATATAATTGCAAAGACATAAAACAAGCTTTTGGCCTGTTATGCTAATGCCCTTCTTGCTCTCCTCTGGAAACTTTCTCCCCCACTGCCCAGGGAAGATCCAGTTTGCCATTGCTGCAGATGACAACGCTGAGTTCTGGCTGAGCCGTGACGACCAGGTGTCAGGCCTTCAGCTGCTGGCCAGTGTGGGCAAGGTAGGGTCAGCCCAGCCCCAGAGCTCTCCACTGGGCCCAGGAGCCAGGCCATGGAAGAGGCACCTGCCTGCAGCAGGGACCCCTCATTACCATTAATCTTTCTGGTGTAACCGCCATGGAAGAAGGTTTGGGAAGGAAGCATCTTCCCTCTCACCCCTGCCCCATTTTACAAAGGGACAAACTGAGGTGTCAACTGGGGAGGAGTAAGGAGTTAGTCTGGGCTGCCCCTGTTGGGCTCCAGCCTCCTTAGCATGGTGCCGAGGAGGCACACCTGGGGTCTGACTGCTCAGGACCCTCTAGGAAGGGCGGAGGTGCTTTTGCCTGGGGCATGGGGCATCTGTCACTCCCCTTACCTCTCCTGTTTTCTCTCCCCTCGCCCTCCTCTTCTTTCCTCTCCATCTCCTTGTCTCTTCACTCACCGCCTCCCTTTCTTCATTCCTTTGTCTTCCTCCTTTCTTCTCTTTCCACTCTCCCCACACCTCTAGACTGGAAAAGAGTGGACTGCCCCTGGAGAGTTTGGGAAATTTCGGAGTCAGATTTCCAAGCCAGTGAGGTGAGTAGAGTCTCATGACATTCCTGTGAGTGAGCGGCAGAAAAAACCCAGCCCATCTAGACCACTGAGGCCAAATCAGTCAAGGAGCCTAGTCGCACCCTCCCACTATCCAGCCTTCCCTATTCCGGAGCTCAGTGTGCCTAGGCACTCCTGCGTTCTGGTAGATGAAGTCTTTGACTGAGAAACTATTTGGTCCATCCTTCCCTATTTTACTGAGGCTCAGAGAGGGGTGTCCCTTAATGAAAGTCACACAGCTATCTAAGTGACACTCAGGACTGAAAAACAAAATTGGTCCCTCTTCTCCCAGTCCCGGCCCTGCCCATTTGCCCCATCCTTGGAAATGCCCGCAGCTGTACAGCCTGGACACCGGCTGCTATGCCTGGGCTGCAGAAAGTTCCTCATCGGCAGCAATCCCTTGGTAGACTAGAGGGGAATCAAGGCCGTTCCTGGCCAGTAGTGGCTGGAGTTTCTTTAACATGCTGGCAGGGGGACTTAGCCCAACTTCACAGTGCCACCTGGTGGCCGGCACGGACAGACGGGAACACTATTGGCCTGATGGTGATTATGGCGGCATTGATGACAGTAAGACAGTCTAGCTTGTCAAGAGCGCTCTCTGGGTGCCAGTCTCTGTGGCGAACACTTTACATGTGTAGCAGGTGTATCAGCTCATGTCATGGACCCCAAAGCAGGACTGCCTGGGCCCACCAGCTCCACTGCTTACTGCCTTGGTGACCTTGTGCAGTCAGCCAATATTTCTGTGCCTCAGTGTTCTCATCTGTAAATAAGAATTAAGTGAGTGAGTATACATGAAGCTCTTAGAACAATGCCTAGCACATAGTATCAACTCTGTTATTACAGATGACCAGACTTAAGATTTTGCAACTTTACGATGTTGCAAAACTGATGTGCATTCAGTGGAAACCATACTTCAGATTTTGAATTTGGATCTTTATTCAGTGATACGGGGTACAATACTGTCTCATGATGCTGGGCAGTGGCCGTGAGCCTCGGCTCCCAGTCGGCCACACATTCGCAGGGTCAACAGCCAATAGACTTATATCCTGTACCCTTACAACCATGCTGCTTTTCACTTCCATTCACTAACTTACGTGGGATATTCAACCCTTCATTATAAATAGGCTTTGTGACAGATGACCTTGCCCAGCTGTAGGCTAAGGCAAGTGTTCTGAGCGCGTTTGAGGTGGGCTATATTGTTCGGTAGGTTAGGTGTATTAAATGCATTTTGACTTCCAATATTTTCAACCTACAATGGGTTAATCAGGATGTAATCCCATCAGAAGTTGAGGGAGATCTGTATTTCCTTTGATTCTCATGATTATCCTATGATGTATGGCCTGTTATTACCACCATCTTACAGAAGGGAAAACTGAGGTCACTCTGTGGGTAGGCGGTAGCGTGGGGACTCCAGGCCAACATTGAAAGCCAAGTTCCTGGGATTCTGGGAACAAAGAGAGAAGGGCAAGGAGAAAATCTGGGGGGCAGGAGCCAGGCGGGAGCTGGCATGGACGGCAGAAGAGTGGCCGGAGGGGTGGCTGCAGGGCCCAAGAAGAAAGCCTCGTGTCTCTTCTCTCCCCGCAGCCTGGCAGCCTCGCAGAGGTACTACTTCGAGGTGCTGCACAAGCAGAATGACGAGGGCACCGATCACGTGGAAGTCGCGGTGAGGCCTCTGCGGCTCTCCCCTCCTAGCTCAGCCCTGAACCACTCCTCACCCCTTGTCCCTTGAACCGTTTCAAAACCCAGCTGCCTCCAACCCCCTGCATCTGCCTTCTCTCCCTTCCAGTGGCGACGGGATGACCCTGGAGCCAAGTTCAGCATTATTGACTCCCCTTCCCTGTCCCTCTTCACAAGTGAGTAGGTGCCAACACGTGGGGGCTCAGTCCACGGGGGGATTCGGTCAGGGAGGAGTGCGGGCTAAGACTCAAGGTGCTGCTTGGAAGATGGGTGTGAAGGGAGCTCAGAACAAGAAACAGAACTTAAAGGGACCCTAAGGTCAGAGGTCCTGAACTCTCAGGGGACACGGACTCCTTTGAGAACCTGCTGGAAGCTCGCTGTGACCTCCTTACCCTGGAAAAATGTCCTTATCAATCCACACACAGTATTTTGGGTGTAATTTCAAGAGCATCCAGAGAGCATGAGGCTCACTCCAGATGAGAAACCTCTGAGTGAGGCCAGTTTCCTGTTTCACAGATGAGGGGACCATGGTTCTTTGCAAAGCCATGACCAGAGCTGAAAAAACTTTGTCACCTGCTTTAAATTCGCAGTGAACAGACTCTGCAGTTGTACTGTGAATTGTTCATGATTTCCTCAGCAAGACTCCTATCCGCAGGCCCCACTGAGAAATCGCCGGGCAGGTGGGGCCATGTGGGCCTGGGTGTGGAAAGAGCAGGCAGGGCCAGAACCCTCAGGGACGAAGGACAAGCCAGGTGCCGGGAGGAGACTGGGAAGGCAGTGAAAAATGTGTGAGAGAGGAGGGCAGGGTGGGGATGGGCCGGGGAGGCCTGGGTTCACCGGACAGGGCGGGCAGTGTGGAATGGGCAAGGCAGGTGGGAGAAGGTTGCTGGGGAGCAGAGCAAGAAGCCACAAGGTCAAGGCAGAGGGGCAGGCTGTGAGCTGCTGCACTGCTGCAGGAGGAAGAAGGGAGAGCTAGAATCCACAGATGCAGTGTGAACTGAGAAGAAAGAGGCCCATAGCAAAGTCCAGGGGAGAAACTAGTGAGATGAGCCAGAGGCACCCAGCCTTGGGTGTAGAGGAGAGCTCTATGTGGGGCTGAGGACAAATGAATCCACGAGGCAGGGAGCAGGGACAAGCAACCTGTCCCCAGGGCGGTGAGAAAAGGGAAGGAGTAGGCCTGGCCCACTTGGAGATGACAGTACCCGGAGGACGGAGCGCCTGGGAGGCTCGGTCGGTTAGGTATCTGACTCTTGGTTTCGACTCAGGTCATGATCTCATGGTTTTGTGAGTTTAAGCCCCTACTCAGGCTCTGTGCTGACAGCGTGGAGCCTCCCTGGGATTCTCTCTCTTTCCCTCATTCTCTGCCCCAACTCTGTGCCCTCTCTCTCTCTCTCTCTGTCTCTCTCTCTCAAAATTAAAACAAAAGAAAGAGAATACCAGGAGACAGTGAGTGGGGCTGCGCAGAATGCGGGCGGGGGCGCCCTCCCCATGGTGGGCACTGCTGATCCGTCTGAGACCGAGACTCCATAGCCTACATTCAGATCCAACTTCGCCACTTAATCAGCCGTGTGATCTTCTGCAAATGACTTAGATTCTCTTTGCCAGAGCTCCTTGTCTGTGAAATAGGAATAATTAAGTACATAAATCTTATGGTGCTTATAAAGATTGAATGCTCTGATATTGAATGCTTAGAATAGTACCTGTTTTGTTATTTAGTAAATGCCGTAGACGCGTTTGTTAAATAAATGAAGCATAAATTTCACAGTGACAAATTTCCAGCAGAAAGTTGTCTTTTCCCCCTTTACACAAGACTGTGGTGTGTGCCTGCCATAGGACTGGTGGAGTGGGTCAAAGGGAGTTCAGTAGCTGAACCCACAACTTGTGTGGGGGCGGGGCTAACGGGGGAGAGGGGTCTCACACACCCTGTACTGTCCCTGGGGGACACAGAAGCCTGTTCTCAGCCTCCTCTCGGTCCCTCAGAGGGGCAGGGGCCTGGCTTTGGTTTGCTCCAGGACTCATGGCTGCTTTCTGTTCTTTTCTCCCTGTGCCCAGATGAGACAGTTCTAAGGATGGATGACGTGGGCCACATCCCTCAGACAGCAGCCAGCCACGTAGGCTCCCCAGACTCTCTTCCCAGAGATGAGCAGCCCCTTGCAGACATGCTGCGGCCGGACCCTCGGGACACCCTCTATCAAGGTAAGGCCTCGGCTGCATCCTTGTCATCCAGCCTGGGAACCATACGCTGCCAGGTTTAGTGGGAGGAGACTCAGGAGACTTGTCACTTCTACCATGGTATCCCAAAAGCCAGAGAGTCTTTTCTTCCCCATGTAGTGTACAATATAACATGCACACAGAAAAGTACACAGAATATATAGGTATCATTACAGAACCAACATTGTGTTGCCGCCCCCCAGGACAGGACATAGAACTAGAGCCCAGAAACCCCCTGTGCATGCCTCCACTATCCCACACATCACAGTTCCTTGTGGGGTCCCAGCTCTTTGAATCCAGTGAGAGACATCTGTTCCCACCAAGGTGCTGGGATTGACGAGCATTTACATTTGAAAAGATGACCAAGTCCCATGACAACTGGGAGGAAATCGCCCACTGTAGTGGGGGGGGGGGGGGACTTGGTGGCCTCTTGGATGTTTCTAAACCTTTACCTAGGATAGCCCAGTACAGCAGTCCCAGTGCCATGCTGTGCCTTGAGCCAGGGACCGTGTCTGAATCCTTGGCCTCCAGGGTGCTCCTTGAATGCATCCACCCCAGAAAGTGGTGCCAGCCTTGGTTTGGCAACCTCAGCTGATGGGCCTGGACTGTGCCCACCACTACCACAAGCAAATACAAAAAAGTACCTTCTCAGAGTGGAGGCCTCGGCCCTCACCCCTCTTCCCTTCCTGTCCTTAGTGCCTCTGATTCCCAAGGCCCATCTCCGCCATGTCCTGCCTGATTGTCCCTACAAACCCAGCTACCTGGTGGATGGGCTCCCCCTCCAGCGCTACCAGGGACTCCGCTTCGTAAGTCTTGGGGCTGGGCAGCGGGGTAGGACCTGTGGCTGCGATGGGAGAGTGCTGGGGCTGACTCTTCCTCCTCGCCGTGCCGCATAGCAGCAGACAGGATGGCCTCACGGGTCCCTGGGCGGGGAGCCCTCACATTCCCGCTTGCCTCTCGCCCAGGGGGCCACCCTGTAAGGCTCTGCGTTAGGAAGCCCCCCACACCAACTCTCCAACAGTGATGGTGATGTGAGGTGGGCCGGCCTGATGCTTCCTATATTCTCTGCTCCTTGGGCCGTGTATTACTGTCCTGCCTGGGTCTGTCCTACTGAGCTATGAGCCAGCGGTAGTTAATAAATTCATAGAAAAGGCACTGGGGGAAAGTGAACCGTGGAGGGAGGTTAGCTCTAGAGAGCCTATAGCCTGGGTAGAAACCGTAGAGGCAGAATGCACGCTATATGTCCAGGTCTAGAGGTGATTAGAACCCCTCCCCCAGGTCAGAGAATGGGTGGGGTCTAACTGAGAAAGTTGTTGGTGACATTGCTGTAAGCTATTTAAGAGGGGCAGAAAGCAGTGGAGTGAGTAGCCAAAGGGAAACATTCCAGGGCTCTGGGACGTTGCAGGGAAAGGTTTAGAGGTTGCAGGAGAGGATGAGATGGCAGAAGGGGGAGACAGTGGTCCTGGCTGCAGCTGCGGAGAAGGAGCTGAAGTAGGAGATGAGGTACGTGTGCTCCCGGAAGCTTGAATCACGGCTTACATTTGTCCAGAGAGCCCAGGAGATGAGACCTGAAGAGTGGGATGGAACCCGGTCTGCATAACAGATGTTTTCATTCAGAGCTCAAAGCAGCCCTTCTTCCCCTCAGCAGGGCCAGTCCCGAGGAGCCCCGCGTGGGCCTGGCCAGGGGCAGGTCCCACCTTGGCTGGCTGATTTCTTACCGAGAGCCTGGGCTCTTATTCCTGCTGCCTCTTGCTCCGCCTTCAGGTTCATCTGTCCTTTGTTTATCCCAATGACTACACCCGCCTGACCCACATGGAGACCCACAATAAGTGCTTCTACCAGGAAAACTCATACTACCAAGACAGGTGAGTGGTGCCGAATGGAGTAAGGAAATGACCTTACGGACAGGCTCTGCAGGACTCGGTAGAGCCGCCTGGACCAGAGGGGGCACAAATGTCCTTCCAGGCCAAAGAGTCTTGGCCCTTCCTGGACACGCCACACACTCAGACACACAGACCCACAGACACACACACAGACACCCCACCCCCATACACACACACACACTCTTGCCCAGCCTCCTTCCTGCACCCTAGTCCCAGGCATGACTCCGTGCTGCGGGGGCTTCAGGCAGAACCTCTCGCATGAGCCTGCAGGGGCCCGGGGGCCAGTCTACCTCTGCCTTCCTCCTGCAGGCTCAGCTTTCAGGAGTACATCAAGGTGGACCAGCCTGAGAAGCAGAAGCCGGAGCAGCCAGGTACAGAGTGACAGCTGAGACTTCCAGATCAGGCTGGGAGGGGTGACCATGGTCTGTTTCCAGAGGAAGTTCAGACCATGCCAGCCCAGCCCCCAAGGAACTTAAAATCCAAACCACACAGCCCCTCCCTCAGCCCAAAGGAGGAGAGAGTAGTACTCCTACCGTCTCCGTACAAGGCACATGTAGAAAGTGACACTATTTTTAATAGCCTGCTGCTGTCGGCTGGAGGAGATTTAGAGCCGTGGAGGAGATTCCTTGGACTGCTTGAGGGCATTGCTGTCCCTGGCCGGTCACTGGGGAAGTCCCGCTACAGAGAAGTGCTGTCTCCCTGTGGCCTTTCTTCCTGAGGGATTAGGGCATGTCCAGGGCCATTTGTTGGGTCCCACATATGTTAGGCACCTGCTAGGCACTTTGTGTATTTTACGTCAGTCCATGTTTACAACAACCCTGTGGAAGATGGACTGTTTTTCCCTTTATGCAGAGGAATAAATGGGTTAGTTGAGGTTGGTAACTCGCCCAAGGTCACACAATAAGTAAATGGCAGAGCCCGGATGCCTTCCCCATCTGAAACCCCTTGGTGTGTCATATGGATGATCAACCTCTGTTCTTGTGTATCTCGTTTGGGAAAGGTTAGCAACTCCAATATGAGCAATGGTTGTTATTAACAATAGGTTTTGAGGAAGGCCTTCTAGAAGAATCCCAGTACGGAGAAGCAGTGGAGGAGACCCTTGACTCCAATGACCAGAATGCCAGGATGCCAGAGGGAAAACCAGTGCCTACCTTTACCCCTGGGCAGGATGTCACTGACTACCACCTCCGAAGCCTGCGGAAACTCCTGGCTCAGTCCTGGGGGGGTCCACTGGCGCCCTTTTCCAAGAGGAACTCCACAGCTCCCTTTCCTGTGAGGACCGGTGGGGTCCCAGTCCAGCCCCCAGAGAAGCAGGAGAGAAGACCCAGCCCTGAGCCCAGCCAAGAGACCCCTCCCTCTGCGAAGCAGCCCCCTGCGCATCTGGCAGGGGACCTGCCTCAAGTCAAGGGGCCCAGGCCCACTGGTGACGACCCCAGGAAGACGCTAGGGCAATCCCAGTGGCTGAATCAAGTTGAGACATACATTGCAGAGCAGAGAAAGGGGGACAGGATGGAACTTCCAGCTCCCAGGAGGGGTTGGCCCGGGGAGGAAGAGGTGGTTGTAGCTGCAGGCCAGGAAGGACAGGTGGAAGAAGAAGAGGGGGAAGAAGAGGAAGAGGAAGAGGATATGAGTGAGGTGTTCGAATATGTGCCCATGTTTGACCCAGTGGTAAACTGGGACCAGACCTTCAGTGCTCGGAACCTGGACTTCCAAGCCCTGCGGACCGACTGGATCGATCTGAACTGTAACACGTCTGGCAACCTGCTGCTTCCAGAGCAGGAGGCTCTTGAGGTCACGCGGGTCTTCCTGAAGAAGCTCAACCAGAGGAGCCGGGGGTAAGGTAAAGGGCTCTTCTGGGGCCAGGGCTGGGGCTCGCGCAGCCAGCTGGCCTGGGGGCAGGGACCTGGGGGCTGTAGCACGGTCCCCTGCTGCAGGCTCCCTGGAAGATCAAGCACCTGGGAAACCCCTGTCCCTGAGAATAAGCTGGATCAGTCAGGTCTTTGTCCCACCACCAGGCAAAACTGAGGCTAAAAGAGACAAGACCACAGGTATAGACTAAAAGGGCGAGGGCAGAAGGCATGGCCTTACTCCTTTGTTTGTGCATTCATTTAACCAATCAGCATTCTTTTAATGGAGATAGAATTCACATACTAGTTAATGCACCATTTTACAGTGCACAGTTTTAGAGTGTACCCTTTGGTGGTTTTTAGGTATATTAATAATGTGCAAACATCACCACTATGATTCCTAACATTTTCATCTCTTGCAAAAGCCATTCTGTACCTGTTAGCATGACTTCTGTTTCCCCCTCCTCTCAGTCCCTGAGAGCAACCACTGCTCGACTTGCTTCTGTTACAGATTTACCTGTAATAGTCATTTCATGTAGGTGGAATTATGTAATATGTGGCCTTTTGTGTCTGGCTCTCACACTTAGCTTATCCATGTTGTAGAATGTATCGAGGACTTCATTCCTTTGTACAGCTGCATAATATTCCACTGCGTGAATATAGCACGGACTGTGTATCTGTTCATCAGTTCATTGACATTTGGGTTGCTTCCACTGTGGGGCTGTTATGAATACAACGCTGCTATGAACGCAGCTGTACAAACTTTTGTGTCAGCATGTTTTCAGTTCTCTTGGGGATATACCTAGGAATAGCATTGCTGAGTTATACAGTAACTCTGTTTAACATTTTGAGAAATTGCCAATCTCTTTTCCAAATCAGCTGCACCATTTTACCATTAATGGTGTCAATTTCTATACATATTTGTCAATGCTTGTGATCTTCCTTTTTTAAAAATAGCTGTTGAAGTGGGGGGTGCCCAGGTGGCTCAGTCGGTTGAGCCTCCCACTCTTGATTTCGGCTCATGTCTTGGTCTCACAGTTCGTGGGATGAAGCCCCATATCAGGCTCTGCCATTCTCTCTCCTTCTCTCTCTGCCCCTCCCCCGACTTGTGTGCTCTGTCTCTCTCAAAGTAAATGAATAAACTTTAAAATAAATAAGTAGGGGTGCTGGGGAGGCTCAGTCGGTTAAGCATCCAACTTTGGCTCAGGTCATAATCTTACAGCTTGTGAGTTTGAGCCCTGCATCAGGCTCTGTGCTGACAGGCCTGATTTGGATTCTGTGTCTCTGTCTCTCTCTGCCCCTACCCCACTTGCTCTCTGTCTCACTCTCTCTCAAAATAAACATTTAAATTAATTAGTTAATTAAGCAAATAAGCCATCCTAAAAGGTGTGAAATGGTATCACATTATGGTTTGGATTTGCATTTTCCTAGTGAGTAATGATACTGAGCCAACCAATCAACATCTGGTGTAATACACGTTTGTTCTTTCTTTCTCTCTGTCCCTCTCTCTCTCTTTTCTTCTTTCTTAAGCTCTACACCCAACCTGGGGCTTGAACTCACAACCCTGAGATCGAGTTGTATGCTCTGCTGGCTGAGCCAGCCAGGTACCCCCTGGTGTAAACATCATAGCCAAAGGCATTGCCAGGACAAAACCCAGGGTCTCCAGACCACTGGCCTTACAGGCTTTGACCACACCATGTGACTCCACAGTAAGGGAAGGAGTCACTCAAGCTGCCCACCCTTTCTGCCGCAGGAAGTACCAGCTGCAGCGAATCGTGAACGTGGAGAAGCGCCAGGACCAGCTACGCGGAGGTCGCTACCTCCTGGAGCTTGAGCTGCTGGAACGGGGCCAGCGCCCAGTGCGGCTCTCCGAGTACGTGTCCACACGAGGCTGGCAGGGCGTCGATCCAGCTGGTGGGGAAGAGGTCGAGGCCCGGAACCTGCAGGGCCTGGTTTGGGGCTCACACAACCGCCGGAGACATGTCTTGAATGTCCGGACCCCAGAGCCCAAGCTGTGCTGGCCCCAGGGCTTCTCCTGGAATCACCGAGCCGTGGTCCACTTCGTTGTGCCTGGTGAGCCTCAAGCTGAGCCCGGCCGTTATCAGCCGAGTGGGGATCCTAAAAGTGACTGTGAGCACCCGGGTCTCTGCTCACTGATTTGATCTCATGAGAACCTGTGGGAGAGGCCACCTTACAGTCGAGGACCCGAGATCACGTGACTGAGTGTCGGCGTTGGAAAAGATGCTGACTCTTGGGCCAGTTGCCCTCCTCTTATGCCGGGTTTTGGGATTTGGTGTGATCATGGCCAGATTGTTTGTTGTACTGGGGTTTGCATGTACTGGGGTTTGCATCTGCTCCGGGAAATAAGACATAGGGTGCGTTATGTGGCTTTTACGGTGGAAAAGGGGAGCACGTAACAGATGTGTGTAACCGTGGGCTAGGGTGATAACGGGGTGGCTGGATGACAGGCTTTGAGTCTGAGAGCGTGATCGGGTTAGTAGGAGAGCTGAGGGCAGGCGCAGTCTGTGGCTTTCCCACGGGGCCCTGCCTGGACGCTCTGCAGGCGGCAGGGTATAGAGCCTCCTTTCGCTGGTGAGTGCTCCCTCTGCCTTCTGCCTCCCTGCTGCATTGCTGGTGGTGTCCGAGGTTGCCTTACCCTAAGCGGAGGTCTGATAGGGTCCTGATTCCTGTGGGAGCTGGCAGTGGGGATGCTTTTCTTTGCATTACCGCTTCTTTCTTCTCCCTGCTGCCCACCATGGCAGTAAAGAACCAGGCGCGCTGGGTGCAGCAATTCATTGGAGACATGGAAAAGCTGTTCCAGGTCACCGGGGACCCCCACTTCAATATCGTCATCACTGACTATAGCAGTGAGGACATGGACGTCGAGATGGCCCTAAAGAGGTCCAAGCTGCGGAGGTGAGGAGGTTCCCTGGCCAGGGCACGGCCTTAGCCACCTGCTTTCCAAAGTCGCAGGACTGCTGGGTCCCAGGCAGAGCCCAAAGTCCCACCTGGCTTTCCTGAGTCCCAGTCTCTGGCTTTCTCCAGAGGACTTCTCTGCCCATAACCCCGTTCCAGGAGCACGCATCAGCCCTGCTCCGTGCCGGCCGGCTTCCTCCCGGGACCATTGCCGCTGAGCCCTCATACTCTGCCCGTCTCTCCTCTCTTCTCCCTGCAGCTACCAGTACATGAAGCTAAGTGGAAACTTCGAGCGTTCGGCTGGGCTTCAGGCTGGCATAGACCTGGTGAAGGTACTAACCCAGGAGGGGCTCAGCAGACGTGGTTCCAGACTGGTTAAGAGGTGGAGACTTTTGGGATGTGTGCGGCGGTCAGCCCCTGAGCGAGAATGGAATAGGACACGGATGTTCCTCTCTGGGGGGGCAGGGCCAGTGCCAGGGTGGGACTGAATGAATGACAATGGAGCATTTGTCCTGAGTCCTTGCAGTCCGTACAGGGTGGAGGGGAGGCATCAGAACTCATTCTCTGACTCTGAGAACTGCACTCTGGTGCCCAGTACTATGGAAATCTGCCCAACAGTTCATTTGCCCGTCATTCAAATGGGAAGGAATGGGAAGATTGTCCTAGGGAGAGGCCTGACCTCTGAGCCCTGGTCCATAGGGTCTACTGACCCTCCCCGATCTGTCCCCAGGACCCGCACAGCATCATCTTCCTCTGTGACCTCCACATCCACTTCCCAGCTGGAATCATCGATACCATCCGGAAGCACTGTGTGGAGGGCAAAATGGCCTTTGCCCCCATGGTGATGAGGCTGCATTGCGGGGCCACCCCCCAGTGGCCTGAGGGTGAGCCCTGCCCTGGGCTGGGGAGGGCAGGAAACCCCTCTCCGACCTTGGTTCTTCATCCCAGAGCTGGAAACAGCCATGTCTGCCACGGTGGCATCCCCCTGCCCACCCCACCCCCACTGCTGCTTCTGCCCAAGTGGACAGCCCCCCAAAGATGTGCCTGTGGGCTGTGCTCACCCCACAGCAGCAGCAGCGATGAACATTTCCTCCCCATCATCCTTTCTCCCTTCACCAGATGTTTACTGTGTGCCCGACTCTATGCCCCGTGCAGATAGGAAAAATGGAAAGACCGGCTTCATGCCTCCGGTGGGTGCTGCTGTCAGATCTGTTGTAGAGCCCATGGTCCCTCCCTATTAGGACTGCTGCTTCCATCAGACCCTGAACGTTAGTGTGGGGGGCTGCCCCCCAGCACAGGCAAGGGACTTGTTCAAAGGAGACAGCGTGCGGCCCCAGGTACCCCTGTCTTTCAGAGAAGGCTCTGGGAATGCAGCCCAGGAGCCTTCATTGCTTCCTCCTGGCCCCTGGCTCATCTCACCAGGGGCTTCTCATCTCGTCTGTCCACAGGCTACTGGGAGGTGAATGGGTTTGGACTGCTCGGCATCTACAAGTCAGACCTGGACAGAATCGGGGGCATGAACACCAAGGAGTTCCGAGATCGCTGGGGTGGGGAAGACTGGGAGCTGCTCGACAGGTGACTGGGAAAGGACGGCATCTGAGGGACCATCGGGTGCCCTGGGGAGGAAACGGGGCTAGACGGACCGAGGCCCGGCCCCCTGGGCTGCAGGCGTCTGATACGCGGGTAAAGAGCACTGCACTCAGAGGAAGCCCCTCCACTTACTGGGGGTCACATTACCTGCCTGGCCGAGGCTCAGTTTCTATATGTATCAGAAGAGGGATGATACCGCCTCTGCCTGTGTCACAGGGTTGGCGTGGAAATTAAAGCACACAGTACGCTGTCAGGGGAAAGCACAAGCAAGGCGCCATGGGAGACACGGCTGCGTTCTCCCGGATTGGAGCCCTCCTCTCCGCCGCTGCCTGGCCGGGAGGGTCGAGGCTGTGGGGATGGATGAGAGACAGGTGAAGGGGCAGCAAAGACTCTGTGGCCAACAAAAGAGACAGTGTGGATCATTAAAGGGCAGCAAGATATCCAGGAGGCCCTGGTCCCTAGGAGCCCCAGGAGAAGGGAGTTTCAGGGAGCAGGAAAGAGTGGAAAGAAGGAGAAAAGAGAACCCGGGACAAGCTGCGGACTTGGCAAGCGGGCGAGAAGAGGGTGCTGAAGCAGGAACAGGCGGGCCCGGACCCCGCACTGCAGGGGATCGTGGAGCCTGCTGGTGATGAGGGAGCAGAGGCTGTGTCAGTATGAGATCCCTCTTTCAAGAAATTTGCTAGAAAGAAGGAAGGGAGGGAGGGAGAGAGAGAGAGAGAGAGAGAAAGAGAGAAAGAAAAGAAAGAAATTTGTTGCCAAGAGAGGCTACTAGCCCAGTTACTAGTGCACACCACTCTCGATATCAGGGTGGTGAGTTCAATCCCCATGTTGGGGATAGAGATTATTTCATCAGTAAAAGTTTAAAAAGGAAAGAAGGAAATTTGTTGCCAAGGGAAGGGGAGGGATGTGGGCTGAGGGGCAGGGCAGAGGAGGGAAAGGGGAAGACAGCAAAGAAAGACAGACAGGACCAGTGTCTGGAGGATGTCACAGACAAGGTCAGGAGCCCTGGGGGGTGGGGACATTTCTAAGAGACAGCCACCCATCACTGGGGGTCTGAACTTGGCAGGTGATTTACATCTGTCCCTTGTTTGTTTGTCCCCAAGCCTCTGTGAGGGGGTGTGGTCATCTCCAGTTTCCAAATAAGAAAACAGCTTGAAGGGAAGTTAGTACCTGCCCCAAATCCCACAGCTATGGAGTGTCTGAGGCTTAAAACTGGGTCTAAGCATATAGACAAGCCACAGGGGAATCTACACCCTCCGCCTCCATCACATATGTGATGTGTCTCCTCCAGGCTGAGGTCCTGGTGGTGAGCACAGGGCGTGTTCCCAGAGCTGTACCGAGCCCTTCTTCCCATCCGCTCTAGTCTTTACCGCCAGCCGCCAGTATTTATATATATTGACCCTGGAATAGTGTGGGGCTTAGGGGCGCTGACCCCCACGCAGTGGAAAATCCGTGCATAACTTTTGACACCCCAGAACTGAACTACTCATAGCCTACTGTTGACTGGAATCTTCCTGATAACAATCAGTTGATTAACACATATTTTGCATGTGTGGCGTATTATATATCTTAGTCTTACAATAGAGTAAGCTGCAGAAAAGAGAGTGTTACTAAGAAAATCACGAGGAGGAGAAAACACATTTACAGTACCGCATTGTGTTAGAACACCTGTGCAATTCGGAATTGTGTTGTTCGAGAGTTGAGTGTATATCATTCTCCTCTTTCTTTCTTTCTTTCTTTCTTTCTTTCTTTCTTTCTTTCTTTCTTTCTTTCTTTCTTTCCTTCCTTCCTTCCTTCCTTCCTTCCTTCCTTCCTTCCTTCCTTCCTTCCTTCCTTCCTTCCTTCCTTCCTTTCTTTCTTTCAATGTTTATTTTTGAGAGAAAGAGCACAAGCAGGGGAGGAGCAGAGAGAGAGAGGGAGATAGATTCCAAAGCAGGCTCCAGGCTCTGAGCTGTCAGCACAGAGTCGGACATGGGGCTTGAACTCACAAACCATGAGATCATGACCTGAGCCAAGGTTGGAGGCTTAACCGATTAAGCTACCCAGGCGCCCCATCATTCCTCTCTTTCTAGAGATTGGCAAACTGAGACTCTGAAAGATGATGGGCTTTACGGGCTTTTCCACAGTAAGGAGCTGGGATTCAAACCCAGGCTGTCTGGCCGCAAAGCCCATGCCCTGTGCACTACACCCTCCTCCCCTGCCCTGTAGGAGTAAACAGGGAGACAGGGACAGGGTCTGACGTAGCTGTGGGAGGGTGGCATCCCCGGGGCCTGGGCCTCTCCCCAGCTGCCCCTGTGCTTCTGTTGCTCACCCTGCCCCTCCCCTACTCAGGATCCTCCAAGCGGGCCTGGAAGTGGAACGGCTTTCCCTCAGGAATTTCTTCCATCACTTCCATTCCAAGCGAGGCATGTGGAACCGCCGCCAGATGAAGATGCCGTGATCCCAAGGGGTGGCCCACTGGACTGACTGCTTCCTGCTCTTGACTTGTGCGCGCTCCTGAGAGCCCCTGCTCATTGCTGAGGAGCAGGAAGGGGAGCAGAAGCCATGGCCGGGCCCGAGAGGCCTCAGAGCTAACACCCTCACTCCCCTGAGAGCTGTCGCCTCGCAGACAGCTGCCAAGGCCCCTCTCTCTTCCCTCGGGGCCTCTGAAGGGTGGGCCATGGGGGAAGGACCAGGAGGGGCCGTGCAGTCCATTGACAGAGATGGACCGGCTCCTGGGGAATGAGGCACAGTTAAGTCAAGGAAGGAAAGACCTGTTGGAGCGAAGCCAACCTATCTGCGAGGTGCATTCCGGCATCTACCCACGCTCCTCCCAGGGAGTAGTGGCCATGCCCTGGAAACTTCCCTCGGACATAACTTCATTGGGGGGTGTGGTGGGGGCGGGGGTTATTTTTCTAACAGAAAAACCAAAACTAACTGTCCAGACCCAGCATTGACTGTGAGAGAGGGATGGAGTTGTGCATTAAGGGTATGTTCCCCACTTGCATACCTCAGACCCACTCCTGTGTAGCGATGTGTCCCTTGGTTCTCAATCCGGCAGCTGATTTACAAGCAGAGGAGTCCTCAGCTCTGCCCCAGGCTCGTGCCTTCCAGAGACACGCACATCTCTCCCAGGTAGCCACTGAACAGCTGGCCACCAAATAGGGCATTAACCTTACCCTCCTGGCGGTGCGAACCTCAGACTGAGCGGAACACAGATGTAGCATCTTCCTCACGGTGCCCCGGCGGGGCTGGGAGACAGAGAACTGGTGGACAGCGGGCTCGTCATTCCTGGGCATCTGGTGGACCGCCGTGCAGGGCGGGCAGGGTGGAGAAAGCAGGGGAGAGTAGCCCCTTTCCCAGCCCGCCTGCGAGCGAAAGCCATCAGGGGACTATGAAGCAGAGAGGAAAGAGGGTAGGGATGTAAGCAAGCCGTGGACTCAGATGCGAAGAAGACCCCGACCCCGGCCTTGCACGGAAGAAGAGGAAGGGGTGTGGGCAAGACAGAGGAACGGGGATCAGGGTAGTAAGGGGCAGGGCACAGGTTTGGGGAGGTAAGGGCATTGCCCTTCGAACTCTTCCCCAGTTGGAGGGGGGTGGGTCCGGGAGGAAGTGAAAAGTGAAGCCACCCTCTCTGACACCTGGTGTTCATGCACTTCTCTTGCACTAAAAATCCCCCGGTGCCTTTGGGGCTGGGGATTTGTTGGCTTCTGCCGCTGCTGCTGAACTGACCAACGGCGTGTCGGACGCTGGCTCTGGAACTTCAGTGTCTGCTTAGGGAGGGGAGCACAGAGCCCGCCGCCGCTGGAGGGGTGCGCTCCTGGCTGGTGCAGCAGGGCCCAGGAGGCCCACCAGCCAAGCCCCAGCTCTGCGCTGTCATAGGATCCAAGTCACGGCATTTGGAGTTGCGGGGTCTACCCGGTGGGCCCTAAGTTCAACAAGAGCACATGCTGGGCACTTAGGAGAATGGGGCCGTTGAGAACCTCTGGAGGTTGAAGAGAATCCCTGCCCCCTCTAAGAAATCAGGAAGGACAAAGACTTTCCAGTTAATAGGCTGTGGCTTTCGGATGCCATCCTTGCCCCCTGGCTATGGCTTTTCTTGGAGCCTGCTCAGGCCTGCTGCCTTTGGGGAAGGGCTGCAGGGGCGTAGGTGAGCGCTCTGGCTGGCTGGCTGGGGTGCCAGCTTTCTGGGGCCGAGGTCACCCTTGGGCATGGCACTGGAAGGCCTGAGCCAACCCAAAGAGCTCTCCGACTCCATCTTGGTGATGGGAGCCAGCCCAGTCTCCTAGGCCCTGCTCATGACCCTGGCCAGTGCCTTGTATTTGACGTTTTTTGTTACCTCCACACCATCTGCCTTAAGGGGGAGGCCTGGGAGGCCCCTGCTCTGTAGGGAAATGTGTCGGGTGGGGGTGGGATGGGGGAGGGAAATCAATAAATACAGCATCTTCTTAGAAAACAGAGTGGCTCGTGTGTTTTTCCCCTTGCCCATCGAGATGGGAGAGGTGTGGGCTGAGGGGCCCGGGGTTCATGTCTTATCCTAGAGATGTCAGGCCTCTGATGTCTGATGGACGTGCCAAGGACCCTCCGCCACCACCGTCCGCCCTTTACCATTCGTTGGGTGCCTGCTGTGTGGGCAACTGCCTGCTGTGTGCCTGGTTTACTCCAGAAGGGGCCGGCACTCTTCCTGCCTGAGACGTTCACAGTCTGATAGCAGACTGGGCATTTTCTGCTCAGCAGATTTGTGGAGTTCAGTGGAGAAAGTGGTTTCAGTGGGGAAAAGCTGACGGACACCCTTGGTGAAGAAGGCTAGACACAGGGCCAGAATGGCTTGGCGAGCAGCGGAGGGAAGCCAAGGTGTGACTTACTCTAAAGTAGCAGACAATCTAAAAATCATTTCTGTTTGAGCTACGGATGCCCTGTTGACATTTTATGGGTGCACATTTACCTTTCTAGTTCTGTTTTGCATAGGCAAAGATCAAAATGAGTTTGTATGCCTTAAGCACATGCTTAAGGGAAAGGGCTAATTTGAAAGCTAGGATAGGTTTATCACAGCTTCTCCAAAATGACTGTGCACACATGGATCAATCCAGAATTGACTAACCTGCCATTGATGTGGCAGATGGTAGTTAGCCCAAGGCAGGCTGGGCCAGGAAAGTTGATTCGCAAGACCCAGAGGAGAGGGAGTGATTTAAAAGCTTTTTCTCCCTCCAGGCTTAGGTTTGCTCCTTCCAGCTCTTTTCAGATGCTTGGAGGGGGGGGAGGTGGGGGAGGAGGGGTGCTGGGGAGGACGGCATCTAGAGACTAGGCCGATGCATAAAGATTGACTCATAGTGGATTTGCAGAAAACTTTATAGATAGGAGTCATTCCATCTTACAAAAAAGGAAAACTGAGGCCTGAAGCAGAGGAAATGGATAAGAGGGGGAAGGAATGAAGTGGAGGAAGAACCAGAGTCCTGAAGCTGGGTGGGCTTGACCATAGGTAGACACACCTTTGGTTCAGGAGATGCTACCAGAAAGATTGGCAGTATCCCAGTCTGAGCTCAGGACTCCAGACCAAAATGAGATTTGCTTAGACCAATAACATAGTACATCTTAATTCAGATGCCGTGGGTAGGGATCAAGGGCATCTACACTGCCCTTTTTGGAGCTCTCCCAAGGGGCTGTGGAAAGTGCCCATCAGCCTAGCAGACCAGGGAGGAAAGAGGCGGAAGCAGTTCCCGACCCAAGACCTGTAGTGGAAGCAGAAAAGAGGCGGTGAGGAAGATAGGGCAGACTTTAATGCACACAGTTCCCTGGGCAGCCTTTTAAAAACGCAGAACCCCATTCAGTAGATCTAGAGCCGGGCTGGAGAGTCTACATTTCCTGCAGGCTGCCAGGTGATGTTTGTGCTGCTGGTCCAGGGACCACAGTTTGAGAAGCAAGGACTGCTGGGAGTGCCAGGGAGGAAGCCCATCCTGCATCTTTCCTATCGCCAGAATGGCCGAGCCAAGCACTAACCACACTGACTCTAGAACAACCCATCCCAGGCTACAGGAAAACTCCAGCTTAATTGCTGAGGAAGAGTCACCTGTTAACAGCACGTGGGGGGCCTTTCTGGGCCCATTTCCAAGGCCCTCCTTGCCTCAGATCTGTCTTTCCCCCTTTGCTTGCAAAGATCTCACGTTTACCCCAAACCCCCAGAGCTGAGGGAGGGGTCACTTGGGGACCTACCATCCTCCCTCCCCTGGGTCCCAGGCTGTGTTCAGAGAGGATTCCTTGAGGTCCTGGCAGCCAGGAAGCCTGTCTTCTGTGCCCCGAAGGCGGTGATGAAGACGTTGATGATGACAGTGATGAAGACCAGCGTGGTGGCCACGTTGTTGAGCTGGTTGAGCTGCCACTGCTTTTCTACTTCATTGAGGTTCAGCCGCACTGTGGAAAGGGGGAGTGGGAGGGAAGGGTCAGGGCGGGGCCGCAGCCCCAAACCTCCCTCACCGCGTCTACTAGCGGTCAGAGAAAGTCTGGCACCTCAGAGACCCACGCGGCAGAAGGCAAGGGAGGTGGTAGTCATCGCATTGAGCCGCCTTCTCCCTCAGTGCCCAGTGCGTGGGGCAGCCGCAAAGTACTTAATGGAATCGGGATTTGGGAAATTACCCTGGATCTTAAGAGTGCGGATGGGTGCTCCCACAAAAGGCTCTAGGGACCTCTGCTAGTGAAGATAGTCATTCAGCAGGTGCTGTGGAGTGACCACTATGTGTGGTACCAGGAGGTAGGACAGGGAGCCTGCTCGCACTGTGGAGGAGTTGTTACTTGGGCGGTTGTAGCGCGGAGGGTTACCGCCAGGTTAGTGCAAGGTTGAGAAGCAGGCAGGCGCAAACGCAGGGAGGCGCAGGGAAGCGGTTGGGGCTTTTCTTGCCACTAGGGGGCGCCAAGGCCGAGTCCAGGCCTGGGCTCCTCACCGATCACCACGAGCAGGATGCCGATGACCACCTGCAGCAGCAGAGAGATGCTGATGAGGGTGACGAGGGTGGTGTAGTAGTGAGCTGACGGGCCCTGCTCCAGCACTGCTTTCAGCCGCGTGGCGTTGGACATGAAGAGGGCCACGTCCAGCATGCTCTCGGCCACGCTCTTCTTGGTGGCATAGTGGTTCAGGTTGATGGGCTGGCTCCCCCTGGGGTTGGGGTTCCCAGGCTGTAAGGGAGAAAGTGCAGGCTTACCTCAGAGGCTCCCGAAAGGGAAGCAGTTAAGGGACTGGAAAGAGAGGTTTTTAAGCTCTCCCGTAACCAGGTGGGAAAACGAGAGCAAGCAGCACCCTTCTCAGTGTTATAGCTTGCAAGAACGACGAGGTGGGGGCACCTGGGTGGCTCAGTCGGTTGGGCGTCCGACTTTGGCTCAGGTCATGATCTCATGGTTGTGGGTTTGAGCCCCGCATCAGGATCAGTGCTGACTGCCAGCTCAGAGCCTGGAGCCAGTTTCAGATTCTGTGTCTCCCTCTCTCTCTGACCCCCACCCCTGCTCATGCTGGCTCTATCTCCCTCTCAAAAATAAATTAAAAAAAAAAAAAAGTATGACGAGGTGGACTAGAAAGCCCTTATGGACCTTTGAACTTTGAAATGATGGGATGTTGTCATTTATGTTTCCCCAGGGTGGCCCTTCCCTCACACCTTCGCACATCCATCTGAAGAAGGGGGTGGGGAGGAGTTCTCAGCCGCTTTTAAGATACACCAACCTCATTATCTTCTCTGTGTTGCCTGCGCCCAGCCTGACCTTGAGCCTCTCTCTTTTCCTCTGGGAGGAAAGCATCTCAGAAGACACTAGGAGGAGCTCTGAGGCTTGGGGGGACTAGGAAAGGCACCTCTTCTCCCAGAATGCTGTGGCCCCGAGGCAGGGTGCACAGCTTAGCAAATGGGTCCGGAGCTGTACTTGGCTCCCACTCAACAGAGCGGCCAGGAGCCCTGAGGCCATAGCCATGCACATCCGAACACGTGTCTATATGCACACAGCGACGCATGCTAGGGAAAAAGTTCTTCATTCAATTTGTTTTTTAATTATTTTTTTGGCTAAAATTTATTGCCATATAATTTACATTTGATTTGATTTTAAAATATAAAACAAAGCTCTTATTTTCAGGAAGTCACTCACTCTGAAAGACGGAGGGGCCTGTGGAGTGGGTGTCTGGTTTGGGCCCAGAAATTCAGACTGGGCACTGCAGGCAGTGTCTGCAATCACTCAGGAGAACTTGGGTGTGTTTTAGGGAGATGAATTCAGGAGGGGTGCTGGGGATGCATGGGTCCAGGAGAGCCCAGAAGCAGGGAGATCCACTGAAAGACTATGGTCTGATTTAGGATCAGGATGGCAAGGAACTGAAGGAGAGAAAGTGAGAAAGGAGAGGAAGTCAGAACTTCGAAAGATGTGACCACCTGGAGGTAGGGGAATGGACCCCGCAGATGACCACAGAGGTTTTCCATTGAGTGGGCGGATGGATGGATCGATGGATGGATGGATGGATGGATGGATGGATGGATGGATGGATGGGGCAGGTCTCAGAGGACTCTGGGTACTCCTTCTAGATGTTGGGCTTGTCTGCAGCCTTGGTTGGGGCAGGGATGCCAAGGCCAGTGTCCCAGAGAGGCCCCAAAGCTACAGCCTGTGGGTCTAGCCCATTTGGTACAAGTTTGTCCTGGGTACAAAGGACACTTAGTAAGTGACAGAGTCTATGGAGCAGCCCCCAGGGCTCTGACTGGAGAACAGCTGTGAGCGGGGCTTCCCTGCCCGCGGAGTTTCCTATTGGTGGTCCTCACTCCTCCTGCCATCATCTCACCTTCCAGTTTCTCCCGTAGACACAAGCTTGGCACTTTCTACTCCCTCCAAACCCAGCTCAAGATCTGATAAACCCTGAAATCACTGTGAAAGCATCCAAGAAGACCCTTTCTGTTAAAATTTGCATATTAACAGTGGACAAAACCTTAAGCCCAAAGCTCTAGTGTGTTCAGAGCACTGCTCAAATTGTAAGTGAGGGGCTGGGGGACAGAAGGAGTCCCCTTTGCTTGGGGGACACAAAGATCTTCCCAAGCTTTAACAAAAAGTATTGCTATCTATAAGTTTTAATTGAGCTGGCTGGCTTCTGTTGTTCAGTGGCTCTAAGAAAGCCATTGTTGGGGCGCCTGGGTGGCTTAGTTGGTTAAGTGTCCAGTTCGTGGGTTCGAGTCCCACACTGGGCTCTGTAATGACAGCTCAGGGTCTGGAGCCTGCTTCAGATTCTGTGTCTCCTTCTCTCTCTGCCCTCTGCCCCACTCACGCTCTGTCTCTGTCTCTTTCTCTCTCTCTCAAAAATAAATAAACATTTAAAATATATATATATATATATATACCAAAAAAAGGAAGAGGAAAGCCATTGTTTCACAGAGGGTACAGTCCTATCTTTACCTCTCTGATTTATGGCCTGCTTTTATTTTGATTTGTGCTAATTCAGGGCTACTTTCTAGCTAAGGATGTTTTTTCAGTGTCTGGTTTGGTGGCTGTGGGAAATGTCTGTCGGGAGCCCCCTCTAGGCTCCAGATCTCCAGAATGTCCACATGGTGGCGCACGAGGTCCAAAGAAATTCCTGAGGCGGCCCGGTGGCGCGGGCGCCGCGATGGTGTTTCTCCCCCGAGGAATCCACGGGCAAGACAGGACTGGCCCGAAACCCGGACCCCTCGGAGGCCCAGCACAGGGAGCCGGGTTCACAAGTCCGGATGGGCCAACCTAAAACCCAGTAAACACACGTGTCAAATGAGAGCTCAAGAAAACAATACTGACCGGGCCCATGGTGGGGTGGGGAGAAAATAGAGGGAGGGGCCCTGGGAGAGGGGCCTCCAGCCCAGCCCGCAGCCCGGGGGCGGAGGGCGGAGGGGGGGGGGGATGGTGTTAGAAGGGAGATGGTTTGAGACTCTGCAATAAGTTGCTTTGAAAGGGGTCCCCCCCCCCCCTCGGTCGCATCTTTAAAAAGCAGGACAAGGGTTTTCTTAATCCTTCTTGGCCAGTTTAGTGCAGAGGCAGAGGGATGGATGAAATGACCTGACAGCCTTCCCTTACAGCTTGAAGATTCAATTGGATCAACCCCTAAATTCCGCAGGACGCCACCCTTTTTGCCTACAGCCCAGAGACTAGGAACAACCGAAGGAAGGGCCAGGGTTAAAATGGGGGGTGGGGGGGCGCGGGCAGCCCTCGCTGAGGCCCCCAGGAACTGGCCCTTTAAGGCCAGGCCCAGGCTGGCTGGGAACAAAGGCCCGGGAATGTGGGCTGGGCCGGCGTGCAGAGCCACCCAGCATGAGTCATTTATACTTCTTGGGACTTGGGAATCACCGGCTCTGGCCAGCTCTCTCCGCTGGCCTTGGCCCTAGTCCCCCCCCCCACCCCCCAGGACTGCCTCTGTCCCCCAGCAAGGCCAGTCTCCCCTCTCCTTAAACCCACAGGCTCTCACCCCAGCCCCTGGCCTGGTTCATCTGGCTCCTCAGAGCAGGGGCTGCGGGGTTAGGACTCTCAGCCTTCGGGCCCAGCTCTGTCTCTGGGCTTAGCACTTTGGGCCTCAGTTTCTATGAAAAAGAAGGAAAGTCCATTCTCTGGAGGCGTGGAGGCTATGCAGAGGCAGAATGAGACTTTGTTTCTTCCCAGAGGGAGGCGAACGCCAAGCTCTTCTGTTTTCCCTCAGTCTGAGATCTTTCAGTGACCCTGTCCCTCAGTAGCTTCTGTCTTATTCCATCCCACGCCCCTCAGCCCCTCCACCTTTACTTGAAGACAGCAGCAGGCCAAACCTGAGATTCCAGAATCCCTATTTAAAATGCATATGCTCGTGGGAAAGGCAGCCCATCGAAATCATGGCGCCTGAAACCCAACGGGGGGATTTGATTGGTAAGAAGTTGGAGCAGGGGTGGGCGTGGGGGTAGATGGGAATGCATCCAGAGTCCCATTATGGGGATTCTGGATGACAAGAGAGCGTGAGTGTGTCGCGTGGGGTGGCATGAGGCAGAGGGGTTGGAGATCCATCCCTTGTCTCCCAGCTGGCCCCACTCCTGGGCCTGCCCCAGTACAATCATTTCCTCTCTCTTCCTTGTCCTTTCCCCTTGTTCCAACTCAGACTTCCCTGTCACCCCGTTTGTCTTGCCAGGTCCCAGCTCCCCAGGCCGTGTGGATGCCATCCCTGGAAGTCATGGATTGCTCCATCGTCCTGCTGGGCAATCATGTATCCCCTTCATCCTTGTTGACCTATAGTTTTGTTTCTTTACAAATCTTGAGTTGGATAGGAAAGGAATGTCTCTTTCAACAGAAAAGTAAACACATTTTTACATTGTTAAGTGACATTATGGGCAGGGGGGGACCACAAGCTCCAAGAACTCATTCTGTCCTTTCATGGAAACCAGATTTCAAAGGGGCACCTAACTGTCCTACCCCAAAGCCTTGGAATCTGCCACTCCGTATGTTTAGGACCTGGAGCCTGAGGCAGGGAGTGAGTGCTCTATGGGGAAGGAGCAGGCAGAGAGGTAGGGGTTTGTGGCAGCCAGGAGAGGATCACAGAAGGCACCCTGGACCCGGGTTCAAATCTTGGGTCTGGTACGAGGTATAGAAGAATGAGCACTCCTGTAGCCACCAATGGGCTGCTTTTCTTATCTGTGAGATGAGGAGGGTTAGAATGAGTGATTTCTTGGGTCCCTTTGAACACAGAATGATGTGGGAGCAGGGAAGCCCCCCTGTCTGAGAATCTCAGGGGTTGAGGACATTCCCCTGAAAGAGGCGGATGTCAGGCAGCTGTGGAGCAAGGCCCAGAGTCAGGTCCAGTGATTCACTTTGCCCAAGGCAGTTCAAGGGCATGGGTGACCCTACAGTGAGTCATTGCTGTCAGCCCTGAGAAAAACCATATGGCAGCCTCCCTGTGGATCAACTTAGGCTCAGGGCTACAGACTAAATAGGCACATGCCTTCTTGGCCTTTCTGTTGGCCTCGAAATGACCAACTATCCAGAAAATCCAGGCCTCTCCTGAAAAGAAGACGGGGATGAGCCAAGCCTTTCCCCCAAGGCTGCTTTGGGGGAAAGGGCGGATCCAGCCCAGGAAGAATGATTTGCTCAAACTTATGGATTTGGGTGACCTACTATTTAACATGCTTTTAATCAGGTGCCTGAGCTCCCTAATCCCCTGTCAGAATGAAGTTTGAACGGA